CCAAGGTTGCTAACACTGGTGAGAGTGTCGGGATGCTCGGGCCCTAGAGCCTTCTCACTGCCTTCTAGTGTTCGTCGATGCATGGCTTCGGCCTCATTATACTTGCCCTGTTGTTCAAGTACTGAACCAAGGTTACTGACACTGGTAAGAGTGTCAGGATGCATTGGCCCTAGGGCCTTCTCTCTGCCTTTTAGTGCTTGCAAGTGCATGGCTTCGGCCTCTTTGTACTTGCCCTGATCCTCGAGCACTAAACCAAGGTTGCTGACACTGGTAAGAGTGTTGGGATGCTCGGGTCCTAGAACCTTTTTATAGCCTTGCAAAGCTCGCTGATGCATGGCTTCAGCCTCTTTATACTTGCCCTGTTGTTCAAGTACTGAACCAAGGTTGCTGACACTGGTGAGAGTGTCAGGATGCATTGGCCCTAGAGCCTTCTCCCTGCCTTCTAGTGTTTGCAAGTGCATGGCTTCGGCCTCTTTATACTTGCCCTGTTTTCTAAGCACTGAACCAAGGTTGCTGACACTGGTGAGAGTGCCGGGATGCTCGGGTCCAAGAGCTGTCTCCTTTATTTCCAAAACATCTGTATAGAAAATTTGAGCCTCATTATATCTTCCATCGCTCTGCAAGCATCTCCCTATCCTTGAAAAAAGGTCATAATACTCATGCCGGAACCTCTGGAATTCTTCACACTCTGTCAAGTAGAGCACATGTGGTAGATAGTCCCTCCATATTCTTCGATAGTCATGGTCGTTATCAGGGAATACATCATCTAACTGACAAGTTACTCTTTCTACCCAACTATCGAGAATCTTGTTTATTCTCATCCAATTCCGTGTTGCCAGATGCACAAGCCGATGCAGGCTAAATAGACCATCACGAGCCTGTGAACTAATAAACGAATACGCCTTCAGAAGACCTAATGCCTCCGCTTGTTTTTTTGCTGATGGTGCAGGGGGAAGAATTGACTGCGGGATAACTCGTGGATCAATGCAGGCCATAAATGACAAATAGTCAGCTGCTAATTCATCTAGTTGCCGGATCTGCAAGAAAGAGATCCACCAGGTTGTCGCCACTGGGTTCTGAATCTCTGCGTAGCGTCCATCGTCCTCAAATTCCTCGCTTAGCATTTCAATTATACTTCTCTCTTGTTTGCCTAACAATGAAAGATACTCAGACAACCAAATCTCGTTTTCGTTGATATAAGCTGCCGCTTGACTAATTGCAAGAGGAAGAAAGCCAAGCTGCTCAAGGAGCGTAGTGGTTGCGCAATCATCCTGTAGTAACTGCTTTTGTATAAGTAATTTTTTTAATATCTCTTTAGCAGTGATCTGGTCCAGATCAGGAATGGATAGGACATTTGGCGATGCCAGCTTCACCGCGAGCTTTCGGTTACGCGATGTAAACAGAATATGGCCATGTTCGCTCTGGGGCAGAATGTCCTTAAGTGGTGGCGCAGTCGCGCTTCCCTTGGTCCACATCTCCATATCATCCGCATTGTCAAAGATAAGAAGCCACCTCCTAGCATGTTCTTGACTAAGGAAGGTTTTGACTTGTTCTTTTACCTCAGCCGGCTTTATGTCTGTTATTCCTAAGCTCGAGGCAAGGCTTAAATAGGCTTGTTCGACATTCTCATAGCTGGTACATGGGATCCAGAAAATCGAGATTCCAGGAACCTTTTCTCGAGCGCGATAGGCTAGCTCCAGGGCGATTTGGGTTTTCCCAATTCCGCCTAGTCCACATATGGCAGTCTTTGTTGGTCCTCTTGAGGGTATAATCGATTGTTCAAGACTATGGATCTCATTCTGTCGGCCAACAAACCGTGGGTTTCTCGCAAAGGGGACCATCCAGAAACTTCTTTTTTCCCTGCTCAAATCATTGTTGTATAGAGGAACCACTTCCAGAAGAGCTCTTGCATAAACAGCAGCAGCAAGCGCTGAATACCCCTGCCATTGTTTGTGCTTGTGCGAGTCGCAATAGTCGCAAATTCCTCGGATGACTAGGCATGGTAATTGATCCATCAACCCGGCTGCCTCCATTTCAAAGCAGAGAATATCCAACTCTTGAGCGATGGAATCTCGTATCTTGGCATTCTTCATAACCTGATTCCCAGAAGCAATCAGTCCATAATGGATGGCTGGCTGATTGTTTTCTCGTGTTGTACGAACTACTAGCTGGGACGGATCGCATAGTGAACAGTTGACGGTCTTGCTCGCATGGTCATAGCCCGGTTTGAACAGCCAGTCTTGGTCCGGTCGTGAGAATTGTTCGTGGATCTTTTGGTGCTTCTGAAGCGTCTCCGATATACCCTTCTTAATGAGTGAGTCCCTGACCATGTAATCGCTGCGTATTTGAGATACTGCAGTGAGCAGGTATTGTGGGGGTTTGTTTAGCGATCCAGTGCGCTGCAAACTACCATCACGGAGTGTCTTTCCATAGTCGTATTGGATCACGCCTCCAGAGCCCGCTGTTGGCATGCTAACAACCACATCACCAAGGCGAATATCTGCGTTCTTGCTGGGTACCCCGCCCCCGATGCCTACCATCAACCCAAATCGAAGGGAAGGGAATGTCGGCAACATGTGAGCAAGCACAATTGCAGCAGATGTGGTACCATAAACACCAGCCGGGAGGCACGCCATTACCACATTGTGGCCGGCAACGTTCCCAAGTGTGTAGACATTGTGGTCGGTTTCTGGCTGGGGTAGTGAAGGATGAACCTTATCCAGCATGGCCTTTGCTGCTGTCATTTCCAGCGGCAGGGCGCAGATCCATGCTACGGTATAGTCGTCGTGTCTAAATCCCATTTTTGCATGTCATAGATAATCAATGAAGAGAGCCGTAACTAGCGACATATGCTAACTTTGATCCCTGAGGAAGATAACCCATTCGTTCGGAGCCATTCAGCGGAAGGGTTTGAACTCTCAGGCTGACGAGGTTGAAATAGAGGGGTAGCGTCGTGTCTGCAAGGCTAAGGCCTTTGCACAGCCAATGGTTTACCCCGAAATATGTTTAACGAAAAGCAAACAAGAAAGATAGAGAACCCTAAGGCCAAGAAAGACAAAACCGATCCCAAGAGGGCAACCCAAGAACGAATCCGAACGAGGAGAGCGCGTGGAAGAAGCCTCTCTACAGCGAAACGGCATACACTTTTGCGCACGCTCTCGTGGGCTCGTTTCCTTTTTCTCTTCCTCACTTTGTTCCTCGTTCGGTTCAGGGCTTTGCTAAGATACGCTAGTTCATATTGGGAACTCCGATTTATCCATGTCTGTATCGTTTCTTGTCGTATCGTACATAAATTACGGAGAGCATGCCCCGCCTCCATATCCTGCCCTTGATAATCAATCACATATATAGGCCGTCATGACTTATGCCTTTACGGACCTGATTCCGAGGCATATATAACATGATGGTAGCAAGGCTCATAAATATTTGTGTAGATAGCAAACCCCGATTATTAGCTATAATTAAGCTGTCTCACTTCATGTATGTCCACAGTCATGGCCAGTGAAACTCGCGGTTCTCATTGACACAGATAATGCACGCTCCTCTATTATTAATCTCCTACTCTCCGGAATCACGAAATATGACACAGCTCGTGCGAAGCGGGCATATGGGGACTGGACTAGATCTAATCTATAGGGCTGGAAGGACGAGCTCCTTAAGCAATTAATCTAACTAATCCAGCAGTTAATATATCCACAGCAAGAATATGACTGATTCAGCTATAATTATAGACGCGATGGATCTTTTGTACTCTAGCCGGTATAATAGATCCTGTCTTGTCCCAAGTAACAGTGACTTTACCTGGCTGGCCACTTGTATCTGCGAGTCAGGACTAATCGTGTGCAGATTTAGTATAAGACACCCAAGACCTTTATTACTGCCTGTAATAAATTTATCTATACTGAAAACCCCATGTATCTTGATAAGCTTGTGCTGTATACTGACAGTAATATTGTGCCTAACCATTATTTATCAGTCCTACAGACTTAAAAAGATAGCCACTTAGCAAGTCAGTTGCAAACAACAGTAGAAGCAGTGTCTGATAATAATGGCTGGGCAAGACTCTCTATCATTGGCCAGCTCCTCACAAAAAAATACCCTGACTTTGATTCTCATATCTATAGATACCATAAGCTTAGTGATCTTATCACTGCCTTGTCATTGTTTGAGACTCCCCGCAGCTCCCTTGGAAAGGGCTCACCCACGGAGATCTTCGTACAGGATAAGTGTCGGAAGCCTAAGAGTTCTGCTATATAAATAGGTGTATATATAAGTCGTTTCTGCCACTTTGCCCTTTGGCTGATCTATCAGCTCGAAGTTATTTGCGTATGTGTTGCTTTTATTCAATCCCTTCTCTTGCCATATAGACTCACTACTGCCACGCTCGCTTCTCGTTCGTCCATATGGCAAGAGGAGGAGCAGGTTAAGTGGATGGCTGATCAAATGCGCAGGAACTCTCCCTAATCAGCGACGTGCTATGTTCAAGATAATTAGGTATGCCGGGAAGAGGTGGTGGGAAGGTATAAAAACTCTTGCCAGTTAACCATTATCTTTGACCAAATTGAGTTACACAAATGTACTTCAGACTTTAATACATCATCTCTTGTTACTTTATAATAGCAAATACCCTGTAAATAGTAGTTATCTAGTGTTTTCTGCTTATGCACCGGAGCTTCTCTCAAGAACCAAAATCTATACCATAATTTCTTTTTGTTAGATGTAACTGATGTTAAGATAATTCACGCTACCAGTAGTCATGTCTCATATACAATTTGTCTCCTTACTTGTTCTAGATATCTCTGTTCTCTTCTTACCCGGATAGCCATGTTCCGAGACTTAAGGGTTGCTCATGGCTTTTCTAGGTGACAACTCATTATTGCTTTCCTGTTGGGGGTATGTGGAAAATGGAAACTCTACAGAGAGTGTTTCCTCCACTGATCCTATAGCTTTAAGATGTTTATCTACCCGGTTAATAATTAAGTCAAGGTTAGTAGTATATGATATGGTCCTCTGGTTTAATAGATATATTGCTGTCAGATTAACATAACAATAAGTTTCAATAATGTCCAGAAAGTTACTATTAGCTATCTTCTAGCCAGTCTGTTTTCCTTTTGAAACTGTAGTTTTCTCGCAGAGCTTAACTCTTCTTCAGCTGTCTTCCAATGACTGTATATTTCAGCCAGCGTAAGGTCGACGGAAAGGCCATCAACGTGCTGACCTCTTCTCTGAGAGATTCTTTTGGCCTCGCATTCTATCAAGCTTCAACAGACGCATACGCCTGATAACATAAAAATATTGGACAATTTGAAAAAGACATAAATAAACTTCCTGGGCCATGTGCAAAATGGACAGCGGGAATAGAGTGTTACATTCAGTTCGGGGGTGGCCTTCAGATCCATATGGCCCGCTCGTATTAGAGAAAAGGCCATACTTTTCCCAGCTTGGAGGGAAAATTGGAAGGAAGCCAGGCGCTCGGCTATCGATAAGCTCTTTCGCAGATTGAATGGCACTTATCCCCACAGCGGGCATAGCACTGGTTGGGTCCGTGAAATAGACATTAGGGCACTGGAACCGAAATATCTCCAATAAAGATGGTTTCGGCAAGGCTGGTTGACTCGAGTTCATTGTTCAGTAGTCGTGAAGCTCGCTTTCGGTGCTTGATAAATGTAAATGCCATTCGCATGGGCTTATTGAAAGTTTAGCATGGTGAAAAACTTTTGTATGCGTTTAGGTTATTGTTGCCCGTTCTAGCACATTCAGTAAATATATCTGGGACTACGGGTACTTACAATATGAGCTATGGCATAAGCCGAGCCCCTTTTGGAGTCACTCTATTGAGGAATGGAATAAATGTAGGGGTCGGCCGCCGCGAGCCAATTTCGGTCCGCGGGAAGTGACTACTAGCGTAGACTAAGGTACGACCCGAGATGGTAATGTGGGCCAACTTAGCGGAACGATGTAGATACGATGGGCACGGAAAAGGCTGGGCATCTGCGACACCAAACAGTGCAGGCTGTTCCTAGCCAGACTTTCACCACAGAATAAAAAATCCGAATGCCTGCCACGGAATCCAGACTTGTAGTGTTTTCACTTCTTCCAGCCGTCTGTTTAATTGCGTTACCGTTTTAGCGTTTTGAATATTGCACATAATGCCACTCGCAGAACTACCAACTGAATTATTATGTTTAATTATAGCCTACGCCCAGATCCACGGAAGCTTAGGAAATCTTTCACAGTCTAATTGGAGGATACGAACTCATTGTGCTCCCTATTTGTTTCACACAATCAAAATTGCTTTCTCGGTAGCTGGGTTTAGACGTTTACTTGAACTGTCCAAATCCCATATCGCTCAGCACGTCAAGGCCATTCATTACAAGGCCGTGGAGCTTATAGACCCTTGTCTGTCCTCAAAGCACCCTAAAAGTTTACATGCCATGCTGATTACTAGCCAGATATCAAATCTTGGGATTATTTTCGCTCCTGTGTCTACACACCACTGGAGTATAACAGAGATTAGAGAGAGCTCTGTTAGAACTTCCGCGGTAGAAAAGTCTTGTACAGCGTAATATACTTATACTTTGCAGGACTTTCCCATGAACAGCAGACTATCTTAACAGAGTGTATAGACGCTATAACATTGATTCATTGTATTCCTTATTTCCTAAATTTGCAAAGCATCGAATTGCCCTTGACTGATAGTATAAAAAAGCCGTTTCGCTGGCTTTGTCTATTTATTGAGTGGAGAAACTCCTATCCTGCTTATTTCAAGACGATTATCGATGCCATAGTAGCAGCAAGGCGTAATAGGATTATAGTGCGGAAATTCAAAGTATCTGGGTTTTAAAGATTTCTACGCCAGACCCTAACCTTTTTAGAAAGGTGATGGAAGCACTACATAATGTTGAAGAACTGTGACTCGTTGATAGTACCAGCCTTTAAAATTTCATGCGGCAAATCAGCCTACCTTCTGTTCACCACCTTGAAATAGCAAAATATTACCTATTGGTCAGAGACCTCGAGCAATTTCTCTACTCACACTCAGAAACGCTCCGTTCTCTGCACCTTGAGGATACATGGCTACCTACGGAAACTGTCCATGAATGGGGGATTAGGTTTTGCTCAGGCACCATAGAAACCATGGTGGACGGCTTAGCTACCATTCGAAGGTTAGGAATCTTGCACAGGCTTACCATTAATAAGAAGTCCAGCGGTCGCTACAGTACAAGGAGCAATTCGATGGAATCCCGACAACTTGGAGTATAGATCCGGGTAGATAGAACAGGATACTTATTACGGATCTTGAACGTGCAATACGAAAGATTTAAAATGGTTGTTGTCCCTGACATTATTGCCCACGGAAAGTACTTACGTACGGAGAGTACACTGTCATTGATAGTCTAGCTAATGTTCGAGATCGGACATTTTACGAAAGTTTACCTGCAAAAGCAAGGAATATCTGAATGATATTGACAGAACCGCTTTGGACAGAGCTCTTACTGGTTGTGAAGCAAGCTAATGGCGTTCAACGAATTTATACTTTCAGATGTTTAGTTTATAGTTTAGGCCAATCTATAAAAAGGTCAGTCTGTAAGATTAAAAATCGCCTTTATAAATTGAAGGTGTGGAGTTTATTAAGTCACGAGGTGGAATGACAAGGATGCCGAATAAATTAAACCTATTTATCGAGAGACACAAAGAAAACAATGGCGCTTCACGCAGCATAGGCCAGGGGTAAGGGAATCAACCATTGGTCGATATCGGTTCTATGGAGACATGGTATCAGCCAGTCAATGTTGATTCGGAGATCAATCGTCCTAAGCCAGCACTGGCCTATGCTAACATAGCTTTGTGCCTTCAGAATAGATTAATAAGTCACCTTGTAATCAATCATCAACTTTCTATTCGATCATCTCTTTCATCATATATTACATGATTGTATACGGAACAAGCAAGAGCAAATTCCTGATTGCTATAATCTGCTCGCCTAAATATGATCATCGCCCCCTCTTCCCTTGGCGCAGCAGTGGTGCCCTTTCCAGTGAGGATAACAAGCCAATTAAGCCCTATTTTCAGCGCCTTGAGTGCTTGTGGCGCTCAATTTCCCGTTCTGAAACAGGTTAATGGCTTCGAACTCGCATCAAAGGCTTCGAGTCCGGCTCATAACACCGAACGAACTAAATATTATACATAGAATTGATAAAATTGCGGCCTCCCTAAAATTGTGTCATCATATTTTCGGCAACCCTAATTTTCTACGTCTCATGAAATTGGAGGAACTTATCTTCTACGGGCCTTAATCTAAAGTGAACCAGCAATTAGGCACCAGCTCTAAAGCATGCCCTTTAAGGCATCTCCAGGAATGTAGACTTGGCCTCTGGGTAGGCTGCGGGTATATACATCGATGATTCGAACTTGCGATTGGAAGCACATAATCGACAGCCACCGTGGTCACCAGACCGGAATGTCCCTCCATCATCTGAGGTGCGGCCCAATCAATGATTTTGGAGGCCAGTTATCGCTTTAGCCCCACACAGAAAAATTGGTAGGCTTTTTGAACGGTAGGGTCCCACTTTGTCCGGATGACGAGGATTGAGCCAGTGAAACCCACCTTCCACCGCAGGACGAGCAACTGCGGCGCTAAACCGTCAACTTCGCATCTATACCAGGTTTCAAATACCTGTCTTGAATATACAGAGGCGCTAGCAGTTGTATCCGAGCATGATCCCTGGTTGAACGTAGGTCTACGTAGCTTACTGAGGAGCGGATGCCATTTGGTAGATACTTAATTCTATGAACGACACTACTGACACTCAACCTCTATCTCACTATCTAATGGGTCAAGCCTTCAGGGTTCGGTTTGGTTTTATTCTTTCGGCTGTATGCGGCCTAAGGCTGCATGTAGCACCCTTGCTAAGTTTGTGGAGTCATTTAATTACGTGTGTTCTTGTGTCCTGTCTCCGGTGTTCCAAGCACCCTGTGGCTATAGCGAACTGTTTTACTATCTTAACTGTCAATATCTGACTGTCAGCAGGTTACCATCTTTCACACCATTTCTAGAGTGGCCAACTTACCCTCAATACCAACACCATCTTACTGTCACCTGCTGTCATCTCTCACACGCATCTTAAGAGGATTCAACTTACCTCCTATGCAAGGCCTTGCGGGTTTGTCTCTCGCATTTTTTCAAGCACTAATCCGTAATAAGTTCAGACACTTATTCTCACATTTTACCAAGCGTACCAGACGATACAGCACTGTAAGAAAGCCATGGAGCTCAGTCTTGGCGAAGCCGTGCCCGTGGGACAAAGTAAAATCCAGAGCCGATGCATGGAAGGAGACCGTCTAGTTTCGCTAGGGTCTATAAATTTTTTAGCTGCACGGACGAGTACTTTCAGTTTGTAGGTTAACGTTAAAGAGCAGGTTAAAATCCTAGAAATTTGGCCTGAGACATGCTGTACAGCATGTACTGCCTTTCTATGATTGATACTATCCCAGGAAGATGGCTGGCCTGTTAAGTGAGTCAGCCTTGCAGGCCACGGAGCTGATTACCCTTCTTCCTTCCCTAACTTGTTGATTTCATTCAGTTCCGGTACGCGTGTAGATTTTCTCTTTATCTGACAAAAGTGAGTTTTCGACTAATCTACGACATATCTCACCTGTTCCTGTTGCGACGGCGATGGCTTTCCTCACACCCGATGACTACACGATCGCGTGGATATGCGCCTTGCCCCTCGAGGCGGCAGCGGCCCGCGCCATGCTCGACGAGGCCCACACTCCACCTCAACTATCGACTGACTCCAACGCCTACGAATTTGGCGAACTAAGCGGGCATTATATAGTTATTGCCTACTTACCAGCTGGCGTGTACGGGAAAGTGTCTGCTGCGGCTGTCTTATCTCGCATGCGGTCAACCTTTCGTCGGCTTCAGTTTGGACTGATGGTGGGAATTGGAGGAGGGGTCCCGGGAAAAAACAATGACATTCGACTAGGTGATGTGATTGTCAGCAAACCAGGTCGTAATCATAGTGGGGTGGTACAGTATGATTATGGCAAGGTGGTTCAGGGCGGGCAATTTGAACTAATGGGCACCTCAAACAAACCACCACCGACTCTTTTGACACGTTTAAGTCAACTTGAGGCAAAACAAATAACTGGCAGCGGTGAGGATACTTTATTGAAAACAGTATCTGAAGTACTGGAGCAAAACCCAAACATGAAGGGGAGATTCTCGCTTCCAGATCAGCACACGGATTTTCTCTTTTGTTCTACCTATCACCATGTTGACAAGGAAGATAATTGCGAAAAGTGTGATAAAGAGCAACTGGTTAAAAGACCAATGCGGGATACAAGGGTACCATTTGTTCATTATGGCCTGATTGCATCCGGGGATCAGGTGATGAAGGACTCAGGAACACGAGACTGTCTAGCTCAACAATATGGGATACTCTGCTTTGAGATGGAGGCAGCAGGACTGATGGATGAGCTTCCGACTCTTGTGATTCCCATAAGCAGAAACAGTGGCAAGGATATGCAGCATTAACAGCAGCTGCGTACACAAAACTATTGTTATCAATCATGCCTGTTTGCCATACAGATTCTGGGTTATTAAAGGGCAAACATGTGCAGCACTTCATGGTCCCGCTAGCAAGAAATCCAAAATTTGTGAGTCGCCAGACTGAAATCACAAAGCTGGAAGAATTACTTGCAATGCAAGATGGTCCCAGGAGAGTTGCAATCACCGGTTTAGGAGGGATCGGGAAAACACAAGTAGCCCTAGAGGTGGCACACCGCATACATGACCGAGATAAGGAGTGCTCAGTTTTCTGGATCCCGTGTACTAGCCATGCAATAATAGAGCAAACATTCCTGAAAGTTGCGCAGACACTAGGACAATATCTTATAAAGGCAACAGAGATTAAGGAACAGATCAAGTTATACCTCAGCTCTGAGCATGCAGGAAAGTGGCTGCTGGTTTTTGATAATGCAGATGATATAAATATGTGGTTAGCAGCCAATGATACAGCTCCGCCTTTTGAGGACTTCCTTCCTCAAAGCGACCAAGGCCGTATCCTGTTTACTACGCGAAACCGAAAACTCGCCATGAAGCTGGCGCCGTTCAATATTATTCCGATTCCAGATATGGATAAGGAAACCGCATTCCAAATTTTGAGGAAAACATTGGCACACGAGGACTTGCTCAAGGATGATATAACAGCAGCTACTCTCCTAGAGCAACTGGCCTTTCTTCCCTTGGCAATTACACAGGCATCAGCATATATTATTGAAAACAATATAAGCCTGTTTAACTACCTTGCTATTCTCCAAGAGCAGGAACAAGATGCTGTGGAGCTCCTTAGTGAAGACTTCAGGGATCCAGGGCGATATAAGGATATCCAAAACCCTGTTATGACCACCTGGTTAATATCATTCAAGCAGATTCAGCATCAAAATCAACTGGCTGCAGACTATCTATATTTCATGGCCTGTATTAATCCACGAAACATTCCCCAGTCTATTCTCCCTCTCCAAACAACCAAGAAACAGATGCTCGACGCTCTCGGGCTTCTAAACGCATACTCATTCACCAACATCCAAGACACGGGTATAAGTATGCACAGACTTGTGCATATTGCAACTCGGAACTGGCTTAGAAATAACGGGATAATTGGTCACTGGATCCGAAGGGTGGCTGATCGGATAGAGGGGATTTTTCCAGATAGTCATCACACTAATCGGGAACTCTGGCGAGAATATCTCCCACATGCCCTAGCACTTGTGCAAGAAAAGGAGTTCATTATGAAACAAAACACTGCGTTAGTTGGTAGAATTGCAGATTGCCTTGTTAGTGATGGAAGATATCAAGAAGCGGAAGCTCTACACAAGGAACTGATGGAAATCAATCAAGAGCGAAATGGGCCCGATCATCCCTCCACTCTGAACAGCATGGCAAAACTGGCATCAACATACCACAAACAGGGACGATGGAATGAAGCTGAGAAGCTGGAGGTGCAAGTACTAGAGTCAAGGAAGACAGTACTGGGAGCCGAGCATCCATCCACTCTAACCAGCATGGCAAAACTGGCATTTACATACTACAAACAGGGACGATTGAATGAAGCTGAGAATCTGGAAATGCAAGTATTAAAGACAAGGATGACAGTACTGGGAGCCGAGCATCCTGATACTCTAAACAGCGTAGAGAACCTTGCTTACGCCTGGAAAAATCAAGGAAGGCTTCCAGATGCCCTAGCTTTGATTAGAGAATATTGTCGGCTACGTAACAGCACATTAGGCCTAGATCATCCAGACTCCAGAAACTCGTCTCATGCTCTTGGTGACTGGCAGGATGAGCATAATTTGTTGCCAAATTATAAATATCCACCTGCGTCCACTCTAACCCAAAAATTGGAGCATCCCCAGGACCAGGAGCTTATAGCGCGGCATACTCCAGCTACAGTGACGATACATCCATTTCATGAAGAGCACGTCGCTTTGACTCACACCCAGAGACGATTAGCGGCAGGACTTCTTTTCCTAGATCACCCACTTATCATGGCTTCCAGAGCATTCTCACCTGCGCCAGGAGGCCATGACTTACAAGAAGTTGATTGATTCAGCACGGGCAAATCTAGTAACCTAATTTACGTTCGACCACCAACATACTATATATAACTAAATCTACATTTGACACTACAAGTTCCGCCCCGTGTGACTACAATGCTTATGCTTATTAGTTGTAACTCCTGAAATTCTAGCATGGTTCTATAATTTAAGTTGTGATATATATCGTGCATCAACTATGCCATTGTGACTGCTTCTTCCAACAAATGACTAAGTTTCTTCCGCCTCTAATAATCCTACTCTGAGATCTTTACAGACCCTTTAAAATGTCTCCTTCCGTAATTCCTATCCTGCGCAGTCAGACATCCAGATATTATTGCTCAACCAGATTATGTCGTCGATCTCGTCAGCGTTGCGGTCGACAGGTTCGTATATCTACCTCTATTCAACCAGCTCTCTACCCAGCTTGCCGATTACTACGTGCACCACCTCCTATTGAAACAAGACCATGCCTGGGCTGTCAGATTCCTATTTATGCAGAGTCGTCTGATGTTCGCTGTGCCCGTTGCCAATCCTCACATGCTGCTGATAGCACTCACCCACCTTTCCCCAGGACATTCGTCCCTATTACGATTGTGCCAGCCCCTTTACTGCACGACCCGGTGCGTTGCTTCCGCTGCAGGTCTAGAAGAGCAACTGTTGTGCAGGCACCTACTGTTTTTGACTCTGCTTCTTTTAACCCCTTTATTAATTCATTTCAGCTTGCTAATCCCACCAAACGGAAAGCTTATCCATCTCAGCTTTCACCAACCTCGCCTAGAGAAAGTCGGCAAAAGTCTAGTAACCTCGAGCGCATCCGCTACCACGTTAACCAAGGAACTAGCGTTCTCTGCCAGTAATACAAGACTCACGTACATGTGTCGAACATATTCCCTCCCCATATTTGTCCAGCACGTATACGATCATCCATTGCCCGGTATGAGAATAGTATTACAGCTGCTAGTCAAGAGATGGCATATCCTTTAGATGACGTGCACCGGGTTCCTGACAACGATCCACTCCTCCAACTTTTGAAAGGATGTCTTGATATCTGTAGATGGAGTGAGGGTTTCTGGACTGTGTGCTCTCTGTAACAGCTCAGGCCAACGTAGATAGATTGATCTAACTGGGAAGCTCTAATACGAGAGAATCGCTTGAAGAGAATATCCCACAGAGCTTCGCTCGTGGGATATTGTCTATCTCGAATACGAACAGAACAAACAAGAATCACGTCACAACTTGCTCTCATTCACTACGAACTCAGCAGTCTGGATAGGGACTGCGCCGTCACAGCATACTCCCAGCTCTCATATGAAAACAGCATTAAGTCAGAAGTGGATTTGTGCATGGTATTATTTACTCTGCTTACTGTAACATGGTAGGTCACGCATATAAGGATCATCGTCCTACTCTCAGAAACCCAAGATCTACTTCACTTTCTCCTCTTCTCCCGCAGTGTTCCGAAACCCCCTAGTGAATATTTAAGGGACTCTGATAGGCCAGCATGTACCACAGATGAAAAAGAGGCAGTGAAGAGAGCACTTAAGGAAGGATGAGTCCATAGCTCAGTGGTTAGCCGTATCAATCTCCTTGTTCGATAATTTAGTCCTTTTAGCCTAGAGGTTAGACCTAACCCTGCTATGAATTCAAGGACTGCATAGAGAGTTCGACTTGCTCAAATACTGGACTACGTTTGCGATAGCCCGGATATGGTATTAATTTGGATCATGGCCAATCCTCATATCTGGTTTATTTATGACAAAGTACAATCTCTCTTCTAGTCCTAGTGTGCGGTCAAACAACTGTTCCCGCGTTCATGCTTGCTAGGTTAGACATAGCTTTTTGAAACGCTTGGTAACATTTCCCATCCATGCTCCTATCCTAAACATCACTCTGCTCTTGTTATGCACCATCTCCGATCGTCGTAGCCTTTTTGTTTCGTGTCCTTTGGAAACACGTCTTTCTGTTCCTTATTTGTACATAATCAACAACAAACCCTAAGAACACGAATATTCCCACGCCCCCCAGCTCCTGATTCTTTTTCATCTCAATCTATGCCTCCGGCACCTGTTGCAAGCCCTCATCCGACAGTTCTTGCACATGAAAATATACTCAGGCAGAATATGGTTGCAGACCTCGCATTGCAAACTTCCTTGATTACGCCAAGCCCATTGCGAGTTTCTGTAATGCTCACACCCAACATCATCGTGGTGACGAAGATTTTCCACCACCCGATCGAAAATTGCCTGACGAACAGCAATGTCTGCGTTAGGTCCGGCTTCCTCCTCGACGGCTTGATTTCCCATGGCAACTAGCCTGTTTACATGCCAACGTGGGCAACTGCATGACTTCCAAACTAGACCACAGACGTAGCAGAATTCACGACCGCAGCTTGATAAATGTCAACATACTCGTTGTACTATCTACTCCGAGAAGGCTATGGCAACAGCTGACTTACCGGCAAGTGATATGGTTGCATCCGTGCTGAAGCTCTACCATTGTTCGGCAATTAAAGCATCGCCTCCATTTTTCCGTATCCGCCATTGCTAGGACACATTGAAGCGTGTCGTCCATTGGACAATCAACCCCAGGGTGCGCAAGAGAGCGGCAAGGCAAATGCATCTCCCGGTGGCATTCAGGGCAGGTGCCGTGTTCCCCTTCAATCGCCCAAGGGGGGATGAACTTGGAGCACGTTGGCTCAGCGCAGTATACTCGGTCTTTTGCGGCATATTCGATGGCCCTCTCACTGAAAGCTCGGAGCTCATTGTAGTCCAGGATTCTCAGGGCAATTCCAGGTGGCATTATCTGACCACAGCAGCGGGGTGGATATAATTCTTCATCCTGGGTTGCCCCGAGAAACAGCTGCCTGGTGCAGTCGCGGCAGAAGATGTGGCCACAAGAGCTAGTGAATGAAGTAGTAACATCGCCCTGCTCGAGGCAGGAAACACATTCCATTCCAAACGTCTGTGTTCGCGAAGAAGCTTCTCCATTAGTAATTATGTCACTCAGAGTCATACGATCCATGAGATCTCCCATTACTGTGGACACTGCATCGTTCTCCTCATCGTACTCTTGAACTGGTTCACGTCGAGTCCAGTCAAGGGGCGCATTACTGTCCAATCCAATCGCATACTGTCGATCTTGTTCAGCAACCCTTTCATCACGCTTGAGGGACATGAGGATGTTCTGATCTGTAGCAATAGCCGTGCTCGTACTGATAGCTATTGTCTGGTCTTTGATGGAGGTCTGGGCGGCGAGAACGCTGTCCCTCATAGTCTCGATTGCGAGTTCTATGTCTGTTCTATTTCCGGCCACCTGCTTCCCCTTTTGCATATCTTCAAGTTGATCAAGATCTTCTAAAAGTAGCTGCAAGGCCAACTCCCTACTTCCGTCGCCTTCCATGTTGAATGTTGAAACTGGAAGATTATAATGGTGGTGGCTGTTGGGTTGCAAAATTCAAGCAGGCACAATATGGTATAGGCACTGGGGGATGCGAATCTGGCGCGGGAGGAAGGGAAGGTGGAGTATGAGAGTGGGACTAGAGGTAGAGAAATCAGTAAGTTTAATGATAAGCATGTCAATACAGGGTGTCCGGAATCTAGTAACCCTAAGGTGAAACTGGGCTAAACTGGGTTTGGGACAGAGAGAAACAGAGAAACAATGACTCTTCTGAAACTGGAAGACACGCGCTGTCTCATGCTTTTACCTTGAAATAAAGAGAATGGAGAGAAAGAAGAAATATCCAGATTTGGGCTATAACTTTGAGAGATAGTTCTAAAGTTGCCCTAGGGGTCATTGACTTAATCAAACAAGGTGCCAAGATGGGAACAGTATGCCCAATATCTCAGTAAAACATGCTCAAGCTAACTGTCAGGACTCAGATATCCTGTCATGCCTCAGCGCGCTCCTTGCTTTTATTCACTATAACCATCTTCTCAGTCAGCAGACCCACCCGCCCTCCGGCGTGCACTACTCTGAAGATTTCTTATTCGTTGCGTACAGCCCGGAATGGTTAGCACTATCTGTTCATATTTGATGCCACTTATAGAATATTCGCTAGGACATGTAAAATAGTAGTTCATGTTCTAAAGGGGACTTGTTTTTGTTTACGAAGTAATTTCTAGGCTTCAATCATAATCTACACCACTTTCTAATACCTCAAAGCTCTGCTTGCTTTTTATCACGAACATATCCCCTGAACCATCGATTGGCTGTTGGTTTGGCAGCCTTGCGGCCACACGTAGCCAGCTACCCCTCCCTTTTCAACCTCATCATGCCAAGAATTCTACTCTACATTATAGACTGCTCCAGATCAGTCCGTATCTTCACGGGTAAATTGGGTCCTCGAAACGGGTTATTGAATATTCCGCTGCTTCCTACTGTTTAAGACATGTGAAAATGACCTTCTCATATGATGATTACACACACGGTCGCCTGGATCTGTGCCTTGCCAGTAGAAATGTGGGCCGCGAAGATTATGCTAGATGAGGTCCACCCTTCACTCCGCCAGCCACAATCTGACCACAACGTCTACACTCTCGGAAGCATTAGCGGTCACAATGTGGTGGTGGCTTGCCTCCCCAGTGGTGTCTGTGGGACAATATCTGCCTCAGCTGTCGTGGCACATATGGTTTCGACGTCCCCGAATACCCTTTTTGGCCTCATGGTTGGCATTGGAGGGAGAGTTCTAAGCAAACATGTTGATATTCGGCTTGGTGATGTTGTAGTCAGCAAGCCAACGGCCACCTTAAGCGGGGTTATCCAGTATGATTATGGCAAAAACCTGCACTACGGACGATTTCAGCATAATGGGACTCTTAATAAGCCTCCTCCAGTTTTACTAAAGGTGATATCCCAAGTTGAGAGCGACTATATGACAGCAGAGGACCAATTTAGCAATATCTTGGCTGATACACCCTATAATAAAGAGATAGAAAATTTTCGCGACCGTGAGATGACTGGTTGTTTTATCCTATATATATCCATGTGGGAAAGAAGCCCAACTGTTCCAAGTGTGATTAAAATCAGTTAGTGAATCGCCCTGAACGGACAACTGAACAGCCTAAAATCCACCACCACTATGGCTTGATTGCTTCAGGAGATCAGGCCATGAAAGATGCAGGACACGTGATTTAATTGCATAAGACCTGGATGTTCTCTGTTTCGAAATGGAGGCTGCAGCTCTTATAGATAAACTTCCATTATTTGTCATACAAGGTATCTGGAACTACTGTGACTTCTATAAAGAATAGCAAGCAAATGCAGCACTTGTTGCCGCTGCTTATACAAAAGCTTTTCTCAGGATAGTTCCTGTTCTTGATCAAAGTATAAATATAAAAGAATAAAACCCTAATCAATTTCACTGGATAATTCCCTTTAAGAGAAACGGGAAATTTATAGATCGTGAAAAGAAATTTCCAAAGTTCAAGAATTAATTAAACAAGAAAAGGGACCATCTAGAATTGTAATCTATAGACTGGGTAGAATTGATAAGACTGAGATTACTCTTGAGTTAGTATATCGCACACAAGAAAAAGACTTCAGCCGGTCTATATTCTGGATTCCATGCACTAGCTACGAGCGTGCTGAACAAGCCTACATAAATATTGCATAAACTGTTGGAATACAAGACATGAAACCAGCAGAGACAAAAGAGCATGGCCGGTCTTATTTTAGCCAGAAAAGTACTGGGAAGTGGCTTCTTGTTTTTGACAATGCAGATAATATAGATATGTGGATCAAAGATAGTGAAATAGCTCCAGTACTTAATAAATTTCTTTCTTAGATCCAGCGAGGCCATATTCTCTTCACCACGCGCAACCAGATATTAGCTGTAAAACTAGTCTCACCTCATATAATAACTGTATCTAAGCTAGATTAATAAACCAGATTTAAAATTCTAAAAAATCAATTAACAGTGATCGGCCTATCTAAAATAGCGCTGCTATAATCCTTCTTAAACGGCTTGTTTTTCTCCCACTGGCAATAAGTCAGGCCGCGGCATTTATTAATAAAAATATCAACATCTCTACATATGTGACACTTCTCGAAAAGCATGAGTCATATATAATTGAACTGCTAAGTGAAGACTCCGAGGATAAAGATCGATATAAAGCCATCCAAAATCCGGTAGCCACAACATGGTGAATATCATTCCAATAGATACAACGTTTGAACCCATTACCTGCCAATTATCTATCATTTATAGCCTGCATCAACCCACATAAGATCCCCTTATCGATTTTACCTCGGCCTGTATCTGATGTTGAAGTAATCAACGCAATTGGAGTCCTTAATACTTATTCCTTTATTAGTAGGCAAAAGGAAAGATATTTCCTAAGCAATATCAGCTAGTACATATTGCAGTTGTTCATTCATCCCCAGCACAGTGCGCCTGCAAAATTTCGCTGCGAGTTCATTGCCAAATTTTATCTACCGTTCTACCGGATTCCCTACGTAACTTCAACCAGGCTTTCGGCACCAGTAGAAACCTGGATGGGTTTATCATCAGCAAGTGTGATACTGTCGGGGACATGGTTGGTACACTTGTTAGCATGGTCCGAGCCTTCTCACTATTGCTTCCGTTTAACCATTATACTCTATGTAATCAATTACTCGCGTATGGGCACCAGGGAATCCCTGCCCGCTACTCCCACGATACCACTAGGAGTATACCGGGAGTATATGGATGGGTTACATCCCGGGCTTCTTCCAAGAGTCCTGCTACAAGTTAGCTATCTTGAGTAGGCCGAGTACAAGCGTGGGGACCAGAATTCACTGGTGTACGACACCATTTATTGACGAAGCGGTGACCACACAGGTCCGAAGAGGTTCCACGAAGATACAAATAATTCGAGGTGGACAGCCTGGCCTATGGAGTACGTATACTCACTAGTGAGAGTACGAACGAGTCGGGCTGGTAATCAAAGGTAACTATATAGTAACAATGATGACTGGTCGCCAACGACTAAGACAAGTGTATGAATAAGTGCCCGTATATATCCATCTCCCCATGGCGCATAGCCCTGACGGTGTATCTCGGATCGTAAGTTGGCGTATACTGTTCTGGTTGCTCATCGTATACTCCCATATATCCAAGTCACGTGTATGGATGGCCGGTAAAAGCCTTGTTAGCACTCATAAACGAATAGCAGAATATCCTATTTATTACCCGTACCTCCTGACAATTTGTCACACAGAGGGGCCCGCTGGTTTGCATAACTGATACGGGTAGTTGTGAGAGAAATTGATGTAGCTGCCTTCGACAGCATCTCAAAGTCCATGTACATGTTCCAACAATGCCAACAACAATCGTAGCTCCTGTCATCCACCAACTTGCTATTCCAAATGCTCCCTGAAAATCAAACTGGGAGGGAAAAATCCAACGCCAAGAATCCACCAAATCTTGGTCCAGTCCCAATCTTCCTTGTAATATATTCCCCATGCCTCTTTCATTTCAATGTACTCAGACTGAAGCTCTCCACAGGTCCTTTTTGGAAGCTGCTGAACAACCAGTGTCGTACTTGGCTTTATGCAATTAGGGTAGGTAAATAGGTCCATCATCATTCGCGGTCCAAAAGGGGGGGATAACTTGGGCGGTAACGGGCAGAATTCATATTCTGTTCCGTTTGGATGGACCAGATTACCTGGTGGTACACAATCGCAGGGCTTTTCTTTTTCACAAAGATCCTCATGACATCGAACATCAATATATCGGTGGCCCCCATAGGTAAACTAATCAGTATAGTATTAGAATAACCCTAGCGTGACCTCGCCCAAGGCTCACAATATCGACATACCTTCATAAAATGGATACCGCGAACTGTTCTCAAAGACCAAAACGGTTTGAATCTTCCCCTATGCTCGTAATAGACCCGTTGCAATGCGCAGAAAAATTGACGATCATCCATGATGTGTGTAACGGGCAATTGATGGAGCTCAACACCATATCTCCCCATTTCCTCGCAGAGAAGAAGATGAAAAGTATGATGCGGGGATTCACCAAGCTCAACATCTCGGATAGCGCTACCGATCCCAACATCTGCAGACGCATCATGCAATTCACCAAGCATACCCCCAGTGTTAGAGCTGTTTACCACTGCTGAACTACGGTTGGGAGTACCCACACGGGAAGAATGAGAGGAACTGTGACCGTTGTCACCTTCAGTCGAAGTCTCTGTTTGGTACATTAATGTATTCAAATGATTTTGCAAGACATGAAGGGCGCCTGCGTCATGTTCAATATAGTCATCATAAAGCCATTTACCGTGTGCCTTTATTATATCAGCAGGGAGCTAGGAGTCAAAGCTTCTCAGGAAAGAACTTGTATGAAAAAACACTTACGTTCATCCACCTTATGCGCTGATATCCTGGTTGTATAGCTTTTTCTTTGAGCCCAAGACTGGAGAGAAGCGACATTACTGTCCTAGAGATCTTTGCCAAAACGTTCAAATGGAGTGCAGGCGCTGGCTCGGAACTTTCAGAGTACCCCATAGCTGTAATTGCTCTGCTGAGGTGCGTAGTCTGCTTGTAAGGTGGGTGAACAAAATTTCGAAGACCCTCGCGTAGCATCCCGAACGCGTTGCTCTCCACTAGAAAATATCGTCCATGGGCTAGTAGTGAGGCAAAATGTTCTTCGCCTTTTTGGTCTAACTCGTTTTCCTCGGGGCTGATATATGGATTATTTCCTACAGACCCTTCCTTTGCAGAGCTTCCTTCCTCCGAAGGCTGGCCCAGTAGCTCATTCTTTGAATCTTCATTTTTCCTGCTAGGCGCTGTGTCCTGGGACACAACAGACGCTGGCTGGAACATATCTCGGACTTTAGAAGCCACGAGACCGGCTCTTAGTGCAACAAAGTTTGCCAATTCAACATGTAGTGACTCTTGACTTTCTGCCTTTAAGTTCGTGGAAAACTTTTTGAGCAACTTCTCAAAGTTTCGGACAAATCGGTCAGGGCCAATCCGTTTATCATTGATAGCCGCTTTGTATAAAATATCTAGTTCTTCGTCCCACAGGAGTATACCGACTAGCTCATCAGTAGCCTTCGTTATTTCAGCTTGTGTGAGAGAGCTTCTTGTGGTCATTGCAGTGGACTGCAAACTCTGTACTGAAAAGATTATGGACGCGGAATCAGATTCGTCATCCAAAGTTTCAGGAGTAACGACGATTTTGCCTATACTCCCTATTTTATCACTGAGAAACTCCGCCATTCTCTTTCCACTTGCTGGGTTTCTTGCTGCTGCTTTGAGGACTCCTTCTGAAATC